TCGGGCCTGCGGGCAGGAGGCTGAGGCTCGGCCCCCACGGCTTTCCCTTCCCCTCAGCCGTCAACTCTTTCATTAATATTATGATGATTGTCTACCTGAGGCAGCAGTAGCAGCACCCAAAAAAAGGCCCTGCTCTTGCCTGCTGGTTGCTGCAGCTTAATAGAGGGAGCCGAGCTTGAACAGGTGCTCAAAATACTCCTGGAGGCGGGGAGTCTCCTTCCCGTGGCAGCTCTCATATGCAGCCCAATGAAGGACGGGGAAGTTTTTGGGCTTTTTAGACAAAGCCTTGGCTCTGGGATGATGTAGCTGGGGCTGGTCCTGCTTTAGCAGGGGGTTGGACTGGATGTGACTTCCCGAGGTCCTTTACAACCCTCGTTTTGGCCCAGCATTCGGAAGAACCCAGCGATCCTCTGAATGCTTGGCCGATGGAAAGCATAACATACAAAAAGAAACTTATTACTAGATGTTAATGTACAAGGCACTAGCATGAGTGTGTTATACCAGTGGTGCGTCCCAGCCGAGCAGAGCTGACTCGAGTGATGTCCCCAGGAGGGACGTGTTGTAGGGGAGAGTCGTGGCTTGATGATGTTCTTAATTTGTTACTCCTTTGGTGATGTGAAATTTCCTTAATGCTGTCTTTCAGGTCTCAACTTACAATAAATACTGCAATTGTTTACATGCACAGGTTTTATATGCATCATTCCTTCACAAAATTTAATAGGAATGTAAGTACATTTTTGCATGCCTATCTGCTTGTGTGTGCGTGAAGTGGAGGGAACAGTCAACTCTTTTTTTTTTTTTTCTTTCTATATGTGCTAACTCTTGGAGGTTAAAGTTTCATTATATCTTGGGAGATTGTAGCTTTGTGTCAACCGCTATTTTAGAAGCGTTATTATTTAAAATAAATAATTTTATAAAATAATTTTATTTAAATAAATAAATAAATACATTTTATTTATTTAAAGCAGAGACTAATGATTTTTCTTGTTATGCTAAAGAATAAATGTATAGGCCAACAGTTTAGCTTGTATTAGTTGCTGGTATTAGTTATTGTGTAACTTTTATTTTAATTATGCTTATCTGGCTAGTGTTAGTGCCTTGTAGTTTTGAAAATTGGATATGAGATCTGAGGTCCCTTT